TCCATTTTATATTTTGTATGAAATCCTTTGAGAAAGACATGAATCAGTCTCCCCACCCCACTCTCTAAGTTAAATAGTGGGTCAGTCTGGGCCTGTTGTCTTTGGCAAGCCAACCAGTCAAGGAGGACAATTCTGAATTCAAAGCCAGACTGACTTACTCATTGCGGCTACATTACATGCAATACCCCAACATTCGGAAAATGGGTGATGGCTTTAAACATAAATTGTATTGAAAGAAACAACAATAATTACAGTTTATAAAAGCTTCATTATTTTCAGCTGAAAAGCCATCACAATTATCAAAATCAATATTTTTCTCCATTGATAGTTAGAGGGAAGGGCTGTTAAACCATGACCCCCTTTTTAAAACTACTCGGAAATAGTGACAAGATAAAGTGCTGTTGCTGTAACTATTAACAAAAAAAAAAAAAAAAATCAAACCTCCTGTCTCCTTTCCATTCCTATTCTCAAATTAACTTTTCTCATTCACAAATAGGAGTGCATTGCATTATGGGAGATAAACTCAGAAAAAGTGAAATAGGATGAATTGTCAGCCATCTTTTCTCCATCTGTTGATGAGAAATCAATTCAACTTGATTTTAGATAGGACAAAATCAACAGAAAACAAAAATGTATTTTCTTCCTCCTGTTGAATGTTGCTTTTTTTTTTTTTCCTTCTAATATAATTATTTTCTGAGTTACATTTATTAAAGATAATAATTAGACACTACTGTAGCAAAGATATCAGAAATGTTATTTATTAATCTTTAAGTAAATACTAAATGATTATAATAGTCAGGATGGTGGGATGGAACACTATAATTAATTGTCGAAAGCAAGTAAATGTTGTAAATAAAAATTCAACATTTATCCTCATTTATTAGGTAATAAATTACATCACTTTGCTTTCTACAGTGTTTATATTTCCTTACACAATTGGCTTTAAGTATATTTTAGTTTACTAAAATTTTAAATTTGAAAACTTAATATTTTTCTTCCACTTCTGTTTATAAGTAAAAGTAGTAAAATAAAGGAGGCTTGATGGAGTAATAGATAGCGGCTCGGATTGAGGAATCGGTGAGCCGAGTTCGAATTCCAGTCAAGTCCATTACATTCACTTATGTGCTAATACCTTTGGGAAATGTATGAATCCTCTTCTTCTCCAACTATGGGTAAATAGTAGGACAGACCAGGTTCTATAGACTTGGATGACAACTGGTCTACCGCAGAAAGAAATGGCAACCTACTGTGGGAAAAAATCTGCCTCATCAGTCATGTATCACGCATGGCATATAACTGAGTAAAATAAAATCTCTCCATTTATCTTGACAAAATCCCTCAGGGGAGGAAAGATTTTGGTAAAGAAAAGAATTGATTGCTGAAACCTCTTGACGAGTGGACTGAATAATTACTAAAATGGTTCGTCTATGAAAACTCCAGAGTTGAGGTGCGGAATATAGCATCAGTCATTTAAATGACAAATTTTATACTTGTATCAGTTCTATTGATGTTCTCTCTGATATCAAGGCAGTTTATTTTAAAGATCACTTGTCTTAAATCTCCTTTCTTTCAAACTTCTATTGACTGACAGTATTTCTGGTTTTACACTATATTTGTTATTGCTGTTATATATTTTTACCAATTTGTGACTAGAAGGGATAATTCTGAGGGGGATATAAATCCAGGGAGAGCTCAATGTAGACTACAGAGCATTATAATGATAATAAGATGGAGACTTTAATTATCCATTTCATTTATAATTTTTATTTCATGAACACCAAGATGTTCAACTCATCAGAATAAAATCTCCATTTGTGGAAGAGATTTTGTTCTGATGAGTTGGACATCTTGGTGTTTATGAAATAAAAATTATAAACGAAATGGATAATTGAAGTCTGTCTATATATATATGTAAAAATTAGTTAATTAAAAACCATGTTGGTAGTGACTGGCTACTACTATCAGTTTCATGTGCTTGCACACAATCATCAGGCAGCATATATTAATTATTTCACCCCAAACAAGGTGTGAATGCCACTAGTATGATGGGGGACTACAGAGAGTGAAAGTGAGAGAAAAGACTGAGTATAGGGAGGATTGATGGAAGAATAAAAAATGGCTGGCTTCAAAAAATAGATGATGATGATTGATGTTGCATTTAAATTTTTGAAGACTGTAGTTGTCAGGGAAGCAAGTAAACAGAAGAGTTCCGCAAGTGGAAAGTGCAAGAAAAACTGTTGGAGTAGAAGTGGTGGTTACATTTAACTATTTTAACAATAAAAGGGTGGGACCTAGATGCCAATCTAGTAGCACACTTAAATTCAAGGCACCAAGAAAGAAAGCTTGGCAGAAGAGTTGTTTTGAAAATACTTGTAGAAAAGACAGAGAGAAATTGAATGAAGTGTCGGTGGGAAAGTGACTGAAGTAAAGATGCCAAGTCAGGATAGCACAAGCACCAGACCAGATATGGCAGCAATATTTAATGCACAGACAAATGGTAGATTTGTAAATGTGCAAGATGGACAAGAAAAATTGAAGATCAGAAACAGCGTAGGATCCCATGTTCCTGTGAAAGTATCTGGAAGTGAGCCCATTCAAAATGACCTTAATTTCACAATTTGATAAGAATGTTTGATCTAATCCAATCAATCATCCTGTAATGCTCTGGAGCTTAGGTAGAAGACCATTATGCCAAACCCTGTCCTTCCTTGAGGAAGATGACCAGAAACCGAGAATTCAGTCTGGGATTGCAGAGTTAAGATCTGTTTTGCAGAGAGCTAAGATGCCCTGAGATAGTTCAAAGAAGAATGGTTCCACACTACAGAAATTGGTACAAGTACCACAAATATTGAAGAAAGAAAAGTTGAGGGGTTTAGGTGTCTTTTGTTGAGCTGATTTAGTTTTATTTTGTTGGTTACTTATAGTCATAGTGTGTTATTTTAGTAAGGAAAAAGCCTAGGGTAGTAGTAGTAGCAGGCGGTTGTCTAATGTAATATGTGCAAACAGGGAACTGGTACAATTGCAACATATTGTGACCTTGGGGTTTCACACTGGAATTGCTTGCAGGGACACTCTTCCATGCGTTACATCACACTGCAAGATGGTAAGTTTCAGTAGCAGCACTCTTGAGAATTTTCCATCTAAGTAAATTAGTTTCTCTTTTAATAAGTGTAGCATTCTTTACAAAAAGAAAGTAACTTACTTAAATGGAAAATTCTTGAGAGTGCTACCATGGAACCTTATCAAAATATAAATCTGCTTATATGTATATATATATTTAAACATGTTTGGTCTCTTGATGATGACACTATCAAGAAAGTTTACTTTACATATGTTGGATTTAAGTTCTATTGCACAACATTTAAAAGAACATCTCTATCCACATTCACGTTTAAAAGAAATATTAATCAAAAATACATGTATGCTCCTCCATAAAAATAAAATAACTTCAATTATTTGAAGTGATCTATATAAAATAAATACAACCAACACTAAATAAGAATAATTATGAGTAGAGCAACACTGTTTTAAAATGTTAATAAAAGCAATGTTTTGGGATGCTCAAATTATAAAAAAAAAAAAAAAAAAAAAATTAATTTAAAAAAAAAAATTAATTTAAAAAAAAAAATTGCAAGTTCAGTATTTTTAAAACATTAATAAGAAAATTTAAACTAAGTTACCTCCATTACATATTCTTAACATTAATTGACTATAACAGTGTGTGTTCATGTGCATTTACAAAAAAATTCATATTTATCAATTACATGAATTTTTGTCATAGCAATCCACTCCTGAAGATGATCTTGGATGAGACTGAAAGTATTTGGGAAAAGAAAAGAAATAACCACAGCCTTTTTCTTACTTAGTTTTGCAATAGCACTAAGAGAATGATCCATGAATTTGAGGGATTAAAATAGAATACATAGACATAATATGTCTAGATTATTCAACCAAACATGCTTGAATGAAAATATGCTGCCTTAAATATACATACATATATGTCAAACCTTTCTTGACTTGGTTAATTTGTCTTAACTTTTATTTGTATGACATGAAATTCTGTTAATAGAATCAATGGGATGAGTTCTTGTTATTTCAAATTTTCTATCAACACTCTATTTTAAATGCATTTTAAAAATCACTTAACTGTCAAAGTTAATAAAATAGTTGATATTTTTTTCATTTATTACCTCATAGATAAGTTAAATGCTTTTATTTTATTAACAAATACATTTTTCTGATTGTAAGGCTCTTTTTGAAAATGGATGTGGGGGTGGTATAAAATATTTCCTTAGTTTTAATGGGAAAGTGATCAAAGTGAATCTAAACTTACATTGCAGTTGTAAAGATGGACTCTGATAGTTTGTTTTTTTTCTTTGCTTTTATATAAATATAGGGATAATTTTATATGGAAGCCTTTTCAGAAAAGAAAAGCTAATTTTATAGAGTTAATAACATGGAGTTGGGGTTTTTACAAACTTTGTTCCCAGTTACAGAGAAACAAATACAACTTAATCATTTTTAGGCTTCCATATTTTAAAATTATTGGCACTATTAACTAACAAGGAAACACTTCAGTTTTTCTAAAATCTGGACACAAAGTAATGGTCCATTTGAACTGTACACTTACATTGGAAATGAAATTCCCACTGGAAAAAAAATTAGAAAGTTAATTTCCCAAGGAAATTAAGGTTGTATTCATTAAAAGGTCATGAAAAAAATTTATAAAAAAATAAAAAAAAAAAAAAAAAATTAATTTGATTGACTCATTTTTATGGTTTATCAACCATTTGCAGTTTATTTAAAGCCAGAAAATATTTTTAGATTGTAAGAATTTTTTTGGCTGGGGAGATGATACAAGTTTTACTAATTAACCCATAGATGGGAGGAGAAGAGGTGGATTCAGACCCTTTCCCAAGGGTACCTTGTGCTCAAGTGAATATAACAAACCCAACAAGAATTGAAACTCAGCTCTCCATGACACCAGCTGCACATCCAAGCTTACAACACCTGATATTCTCGAGTGGTCATCCATCTAAGTACTGACCAGGCATGATGTTGCTTAACTTTGGTGATCATACAGGAACTGGTGTTTAAACGTGAGGTGGCCCATAAGCTTATTTTCGTTTAAATGATTTTTTTTTTTTTAACACCTTTATTTTGAAGGAAAAAATTATTTGCAAATTGATTGAATATTTGATTGGCATTTTTCTCCTCCTTTCTCTTGTAGTGAGGTCTGATAAAAATAATATAAAAATAAAATATCTAAACAAAAATAAAAAGAATTGAAATTGTGCTTACCTTTAAATCCTTTATTTTTTTCTTTCTCTGAACTTCTCTTTCTATACTTCTCTCAACTTACAAGGCAACCCTCAAATAAAAAGAGGAAGAAAAGACTGAACCCATCCCAAAACACCGGAAGTTTGCAGGAGCCAAGCCTACTTATTTGTGACTGAAAAATACCAAAAATCAGGAAGTTTCCATGCATAACTTCTGTTATAAAGAAAAAAAAATGAAAAAGAAAGAACACTGGAAAATAAAATAATTTGACCAATCAGAAAAAGTAATACAAAGAGACTTTTTTTCACATTGATGCCAAATCCTCAAGCCTATTGAAAATGATATAAAAACCTGAGACCTCTAGACCAATGGGTAAGAGCACAGAATTGAACCTAGAATGACACCAGGAGAGGACAGAACAAAAGAACACAACCACTGCTACTTACGTTTTAGCTCCATTCAGGGCCAAAAGAAAACAGCAGATTGCCATCTGACCTAATTTCTGACATTACAACTACCTCTATCATGCTCTGACTTCCAACTATCAAAACGGTCATTTCTTCAGACTGCTATCAATATCTACCTTGTTAACAAACTTTTTGCTATGCCAAATACTTACTCATCACTTTAAAGAAAATAAATAAAAATATATTTATTTCTAATGCTTGAGTCAGTTCATTTTATTCCCAAATTTTCTTATAAAATAATTATCTACCACCTATCCACACCGGCAACGTTCTGAAATGAACCGATTTGCTACACTTCCATCATTTAGTTTTTCGATAGCTAAGGATCACATCTTTCCAAATTTCTTCAGCCTTCAATGTTTTTTTCTTTGTTAGGATCAACAGTTAAATAAAAATAAACTTTAGTAACTTTTAAGAAGTTTTTGATCTGACCAAGTTCTTTTATTTCTTCATCCGTATTTTGAGTTGTTTCATCCTCTTTATCTTCAGATTCTTCAAATGCCCATTGATTATTGATTCTTGAATCAAAGAAAATCATTTTAATCTTTAGACATTCTCTTTTTTTTTTTTTTTTTTCTCTCTCCCCAAACTAATCCGATCTTCACTTGTAGGATAAAGTAATGTTGGCTTAACTGTAAACTGGGATCTGCACACACAATGTGTAAAGTGAAGTAAACATTTGCAAACATAAAATGGAAAAAGATTCTAGTCGCTAGCAAATGGGGTAGTCTGAGATGCTAATTAAACATTGGGGATGTCAAAATACAGATGTTTAACTGTGTTATGATGGAAAATGTGAGGCGAAAATCTGAATAAACACTGGAATGCCTTTTAAAAATCAAATAAAGTATTATGAAAACAAAAAATTTCATTAGATACAGAGGTGATAAACTGCAGTGAATGATGGACAGTTTGCTTACAAAGGAAGACACTTGTGGCAATGGAGATGTGATTCTACAGAAAGATGCTGAGAATGCCATAAATGTAACACTTAAGCAATGAGGAAGTTTTAAGTAAAATGAGAATGAAAAGAACACTTGTACCTAAAATCTTCTTTTATGTGCCATATGAAGAGATAGGCGATTATGGCTCTCCACAACTTCTTGTCTTTTGTAACCCTTAATAAATTTTGTCTTTGTTATTTCTCCTAAACCTTGTTCTACCGTCCATTTAATGAAGCTCACTAAGTAGGTTATACCTTGTTTTCCTCTGTCTGTCAATTTGTCCTGTGAATATCAATTTTTCCAAGCCCTCTTTCCTCATTATGTGCCCTTTAGAAATTTCAACTATCTCTTCCTGATATTAAGTATAAGTTTCATTTTGGTTTCCATTTTCTCTAAAACTCTAAAAACATGTTCAGTTTATGATATCCTCAGCACCCTTCTGTAGAACCACATTTCTGTTGCTTCAAGTTTCATCTTCATCTTTAAGATTGTCCAGTATTCATTGTTATATAGGAGCACAGATATTACTTAACAGTTCAGTACTCATTTCTTTGTTTCTATTGAAGTTTTTGTGTTTTTTAATACTTTGCTTATATTTTGGAAGGTGTCTTTCTCCTATCTCAATGTGTCATTGAATTTCACTGTTGCACTTTCTGCCCTCTGTTAAAACACTTCCCAGATATTTAAATCTTTGTCCTTGCTTGATTTTGGTATCCCCAATTTGTAATTTGCATGTTGGGCTGTCCCTTTTGCTAACAAACATACATTCCATCTTCTTGCAATTGATGTTTGGGTCTTTCTTTTCACTTTCTTTTGCTACCGTCTATAAGAGTTTGTGTAGTTTTCGTTTTTGTGTCTGCTATCAATTCTGTGTCATCTGCATATCTTAACAACATAAGATTGTCAGAAAGAGTTGAAATTTCTGGGAAACATGATGAGGAAAGAGGCTAATATTTTACTTTTTTTTTTGGATACACAAACCTCTTCAATGTTAGATACGTTAATGTCTTTTCTCAAAGTTCTAGACAATGCAATATACTGGAAAATGGAAGGTGACCTTGCTTGTGGAAAGATAATGTCTCTTTTTTTTTTTTTTTTTTTTTTTCCTCTCTAGTAATCATTGTCCAGCATGACACTCTAACCTTAGCCCAGACAGCAATCAAAAATAAATGTCCATTTTAACATCATCTATTTTCTTTGCTACATCAGCCTGAGATATTATATAATCAATTGGCCATTTCTCTGTGTACATTGATATAAAAGAGAGTATTTTAAGTGTGTGTGTGGTGGGGAGGTGTCACCAGTAACCATGGAAACAATGCATCCAGCTTCAATGGCTGCTTTTTTCTGTTCGTCTCCACTGAGAGTGGACAACTCACAGGACGTCAAAAGCTAAATAAACAATGTACAGACTGTCTTCATAAATTGCAGCTGTTCTGAACCTTATCCAAATTAATTTCATAACGCTCTTTCATCACTGGATCATCCTGATCCCAGGATTATTAGTTCATGTACTGGCTCATTAGTTGCATCAGTATCAATGGCCAGTGTTCAAACCTAAGTAAATCCAAACCAGGATTTAAAATGCTGATTTTTTTTTTCAAGAAAAGGCAGATCCTTCTGGCCTGGAAAGAAAGGACCAACATGGTCTTTATATCCTTATCTTACCTTGTTTTTTATATATATATATATATATATATATATATATATATATATATATATATATAATTATTTATTTAAAATATGATTCCAAATCGCTACATAAGAGGTCTCATGTTTCAAAAACAAGAGCCGAAAACTTCAATATAATCCTTTAAATTAAATTGAGTTGAAAGTAAAATGGGCTCCGTTCCATCTTCAAGCGAAATTTTTGTTGGAATAACGTATATCTGAAATTTACTTGTTTTAAAATTGAAATCAAAATCCCCATGGTAACAGCTAGGGTGAATTGTTGGAATATTGGAAAATTATTGACAAGGCTAGAAAGCTTGGGATGACCCATGCCCTTTGTGCCTCCATGAAAAATTGCACATTATTAAACTTCTAAATAATAATAATCTATTAAATAATAGACACGAGTTAACGGTTTTTTGTAGGCATCATCAGATTTTTGGTTTGAATTATTAGATAAAAAAATTTATATAACTTGTTTAACAAATAGCCCAATCATCAGATTCATAGTAGGAATAATTAACTAAAAACATGCATACAACATAACACACTTCATAATCCATAGCCTAAATTAGTAGTTTAAATACCTTACATATAAGATAACCTTTTATGAAGTCGTCAAAAAACAAACATTACAAAAGTTTTTCTTTTTTTATATGCACAATTCCCTTTCATAATAAAATAAAATAAATAAATAAATCTCCATAGACAAGCAAACGAGACGATGGCCAATACATCTTCCGTTTCATTTTTGACACCCCCACCTTTCCCCGACTTGACACCTTGAAAGTATCTCTATACCGCTACTTATTATAAACACCCTACATTCGCCTACCCAATTTAGACAATTTACCCTAGCTGTTACCATGGGGATTTTGATTTCAATTTTAAAACAAGTAAATTTCAGATATACGTTATTCCAACAAAAATTTCGCTTGAAGATGGAATGGAGCCCATTTTACTTTCAACTCAATTTAATTTAAAGGATTATATTGAAGTTTTCGGCTCTTGTTTTGAAACATGAGACCTCTTATATAGCGATTTGGAATCATATTTTTAAATAAATAATTATATTTATGCTCTACTTTTGTATCGAGCACTATTTTTTAAAAATAACTAAAATACTAAGGGACTTTGGATTATTTACCTAACCAGTTCCTTCCTATTTTCTATATAGTTTCACATATATATATATATATATATATATATATATATATATATATATAATAGAGATTTGTCAGAATCTATCTTCATCAGTTTACCATTCACCCATGCACTGAGTATTACTGCTACCTCAGTATTTAGAGATTCTTGATAAAAACCAAGAAGAATCTGCAATGTTATTGGTCCTGACCTGGCATCTTGGTTTCAGTCACTTTTCCACTGCCATAATGTAACTTCCCTCTATGTTTTCTCTAGATATTTTCATGCTAATTGTTCTGATGAGCTTTCCTTGTTGGTACCGAGACTTTATGAATTTAAGCATAATACTAGGTTGGCAGCTTGGTCTCATCATCTTACAAATCAAGTCTAGATGTAACTGTAAGCTCTATGCTAACAGTTTCTTCTCTCGCACTTCTCACTTGTGGAACTCTCTTCCGGCTTATTGCTTTCAAGTTAACTTTGATCTTCAAAAATTGAAATGCAATGTCAATCATCATCTTCTGTCTTCTTGAATCCCGTTCTTTTATTGTCCTATCTGTTTCTTTCACTCTCAGTAACCCATTGCATCCCGGTGGCTTTTATTGCCTTGCTTGAGGTTAAATGATCTAAAAAAAATTATTATTTTGCTTGCTTAGAATTTTTCAGTATCAAGTGTGTGGATGTATGTTGGCAGTAACAAAATCCAAGATGTTACACCTGTATAATAAATGCAAATGTCAGTGTGTCACACTTTTTCAACTTTACTCTTAGATGCCATAGCCCAACATATCATATCATTTTGGAATCAGGACAACTCCATGAGCAAATTAAAAACATTCTGAGATGGATCTGGATTTGCAATCCTGAAATTTCAGATTCCTAGGTTTTCATTACTGCGATTGTTAATTAATTGTAAAATACAGTGAAAGTCACCCATGAAATGAAATAAAATAATTGTATGGAAAGTAAGGACCTACATACATCAAATTGTTTTTAAATTAAGACGAAGAATTATTGCTGAACTTTTAAAAGGTAATCTTAAATATTAATGCAATACTTAAATGCAGTGATCAATTTTGAGTTCTTCTGTAGTTTATTGTTGCCTATCAAAACCTTGTGATAACAACAACAAAGACAAGGACAACAGTCCATGTGTGAATAGTAAATAAGCATAAATTTTGTAGTAAAAAATAAAATAAATAAAAAAAGATTTCAGACTTAATTTTTATCATCCAAAATCAAATTTAATTCCTATTTTTTAATCATTTCTCCCCAAGCAAGGTAATAAAGCCACCAAGATGCAAGAATGTGAAAGAATATAAGAAAAAGAAAACATTAATGAAAGAGGACAATGAAAAAACAGGAATTAAAAAGACAAGATAACGATCGATATTGCATTTAAATTTTTGAAGATCAAAGTTGACTGGAAAGTAAGAAGCCAGAAGAGATTTCCACCAGCAGGATGGTTCAAGAGAAGAAATTTAGCATAGAACTTCCGGTTACATCTAGCCATTCTGACTATAAAGTTCCACCTTGATTTTTGTTTACTAACAAAAGAATTTCGTTAAAAATTTTCAAAAAATAAAGTAGCCATTATAGAAAGTAGATTTAATGATTACTTAATATTTTGAAAGTAAATATTACTTTTTGCTTAAAATATAGTAAAAAAAAAAAAAAAAAAATACATGTTTATGACAGGTGTTTGTTACTTGTGAACTTTGAACAAAGTTTACATGGATATTGAATCAACTTTCCTTATCCTTATATGATGAAAACCTGCTTAAATTTATAAACATCTCATGAGACATTTGAAGCATGCATAAGCAAAAAGGTCAAAGCCTCATATTGAATACAGTAGGAAAAATATATTCTCAATGTTAAAACATCATGATATGACTGATAACCCTCTTGTTATTGAATATTTTTGGATGATCCAGATATTTGATATATTCATTAAACTTTTAAGTGTTTACAATAGGTAACTTAAGTTACTTGGAGGTAACTTAGTTAAGAATTGGATTCGTTGAGAGGTTAGTTTGCTTGTTTTTTTTTTTTTTATTTCAAATATGCACAACTATTTGTTTTAGCCATCATAACCCTGAAGATAATATTAAAATATATCGAAAGTACTTGGAAAAATAAAAATGAATAAATACAAGCATGGTACCTTCCTTGCTCTCTTTAATCCTGAAACAACGAAGCTTATACGTGATTATGAAAAGATATCATTGAAAATAAACAAATACATGTCTAAATTGTTTAATAAGACATGATTCTTTTACATTTTATATATAGATCCATTGATATATCATCCAGGTGGATCTAGAATATCAAAATTAAAACTGAAGGAAAATCTGCGTATTTATTATAACCAGCGCATATATATATATATTACACAACAAAAATAGGCCTCATATGGTTGAAATAGGTATACTCATTGAGGTAATTTTTGAAATTGTTGTATATGCTCTGTTATAATAAATACATTGAGCTCTTTTGTGATCAGTTTAATATCTGATATTACTAGGATCCACCTGGATGATATACCAATGGATCTATTATCTGTATTATATATATGCCTGGCCGCAAAATCCTTGTTGAAAACACAGCTAACTTGAACATAAAAACAATAAACAAAAACTAAAAATTCTTGAAGCTATATTCATAAAACAGTTGAAACCTAACCTGAAGAAAATAAACTATGAAATCCCCACAAATATTCTTAAATGCCTATAATTGATAACAGAAGCCATTGGTTTATACCAACGGCTTCCCATACTTAACACTTCTTGTTTCCACTCTCACATGGTCATGTGTGATGTCATGGGCTGCAGTGTGATTTTCACTTCCAGCCTCTCGTATACACGAGTTTGTTGTTACTTGGAAATCTTCCATGCAAACAAAAACAGACTATCATTATCGCTATGTCCATGTATTGTTTAATATATTGTAATGTTAGTGTCATCTTTGATGATGGCTTATGTAAGCCGAAGGTTAGATAGAATTAAAAAACATGTATCAATATGGTGATTTTCTTTTGTCTTTTAATGATAATGTTATTAAGCTTATCAGACGATATGAAAGGAATTTGCATAAAATATATAGACAAAATTTGTCTATTTTATTTAATGAAACATGTATCAATATATATATATATATATATATATATATACATACAAGTATATGATTGGTGTATACAGAATAAATTCCGATAACCAACAATTAATATTCTTAAAAGAATTCTCAATACAGCGTAGAGTGAATATAATTATTTATTTAAAAATTATAACATAAATATATTATAAAATCACTACAAAAATAGCCATTTTGTTTCAACATTTTGTCTTATTGTGATGATGTTAACATCATCACTTGATAAAACACCAGAGGTGTTGAAACAAAATGGCTATTTTTGTAGTGATTTTATAACATATTTATGTTATAATTTTTAAATAAATAATTATATATAATATGAAAGTTATGTTTGACTGAATTTAAAAAACAATATATCTTCACAATATCAGCATGCACTTATATTAAATGTCCAATTGATGTAATATCCAAATATGAATAATCGTTAAAATGTTCATTAACAATAATTAATATCTGTCATATGATGGGGTTTTTATGTTGGGAATACATATATATTTTTACATCGCAGTAAGCAGCTAGAAAAGCGACCGAATTTAAACATCATTTTCCCATTAAGAGGAAAACAATGAATCTAACATATTTTGAGTTTTGTCCCATGACCAGTTATAATGCTCATGTTTCTTTCATCATTACCGCTGTCATATCCTGCCTCAAACTGGATCTCTTTCTGCATTCAAAACCTGTCAGCCAGATGTGAATGCTACAAAAACAAAATTAAAAATAAAAAGTCACTCTCTGCACAGGGGCTCCAAGCATCACATCTGACTCGCAAAACAAATCTCCCTCCAAGCAAATATAAAATACAACTTAAAAGGAGCCAATCACGGTTGTTGCTGCTAAAGTAATGGCATGAAATAAAAAACACTGAGTCATGGTGCACACCATCTGCTTTTAAGAACACTGCTCATAACACTGTAGAGTTGCAGGCAAGCTATCAATGTCACCACCAGTGACATTGGTCAACCAACCCAACACGTGCATCACCTCCTGGTCACACCTTTGCCAACAAAGAGGCATTCTGCTTTGATCTTCTTTATCGGCAATACAAATAATTTTATTGTAACAATTCTTGAATTCTTTTCTTTTCGCCTTATTGACAGTACTTGTTTTGTTTGTTCTCTCGTGCTACAATACACACATTTATAAAACCATGTCTCTCTCTCTGTTCTATGTCCCCTCAGGAGATAGACAATCATGGCTCTCCATAATTTCCTGTCCCTTGCGGCTCTAAATAAATTCAGTCTTTTCATTATTTCTAAACCCTATTCTACCATCCAATTTCTCAAGTATATTATATGTTGTTTGTCTCTGTCCTTCTTGCCCTCAATTTGTCCTGTGAGTATCAGATTTTCCAAGCTCTCCTTTCTCATTGTGCTCCAGAAATTTGAACTCTCTTCCTGATGTTAAGTAAAAATTCCTTATTGTTTCCCTTTTCTCTAAAACTTCGTCATTGCTCATATGTTAAGTCCATGGTATCCTCAGCATCTGAGGGAATATCCTGCTTGAGTGGGAACATGGCTAATCAGATTTTCAGAACTTCATTGTTTAGATATGCCAAAAATTTCTTTGACTCAAGGGTAATCAAAGTTGGTCCGGCAGTAAGTGTTACGAAACACACCTAGTTTTCCATGTGTTGAAATCTTTAAACATTTTTATTTTTTAAGTGATCATTTACTCGGTTTTATCTTTCTAGAAATGTTAAAAATAGGAACTAGAAATTTTATTTTAATTACTAGCTGTGGACTACTGCTTAGTATTACTATTAAAAAAAAAAAAAAAAAATAAGAGATCCTCCTTAGTGGATTATCTCGGAATAAAAAATGATTTTACTGATATATATTAGTATTACCCTCTTAATTGATTTAAAAGAACTGTAAAGAAAGATTACAATTTGAAGAAAAAAAAAAAGAACTACTGAAATTAGCAATTCTGTCCCCTACTTCCCAGTAGACATGGGGGTTCCCACACAGATGAGAATTCTGGGTAGTAAGCGCCGGCTGTGTTGATTATTATAATTGATGATTAGGTGGGGAAAAAAAAAAAAAAAAAAAAACTCTGTGAAACTGGCCCTTTTGAGGCTCTAACCTTGCCGGGGGTTCTTGCATAGTATGCACAGCACCAGCCATGCAGATATACAATGTATATTATTAGATGGTGACTAACAATGTAATGTCAGCTTAAAAATAATAATTAAAAAAAAAAAAAAAATGGCAATACATTTGTTAAAAAAGAAATTACCAGTAACACATTTGACTCTAAACAAAAAACCTCTTTACAAAAATACTTCAATGATACTTGATCTACAAACTGATTTCTTACAAAGAATACATATTCTATTCATACGAACATATCCTAACCAATCTTGTTGGCATTAAATAACCCATTGAGGTTGATATGCCGTAAAACAAAATAATCCAATAGAACCATGCTCTCGACAAAAAAAACAAAAAAAAACCCTCTTTGCAAAAATAAGTTCAGTGAGACCTGATCTACAAACTGATTTCTTACAAAGAATATTTATTCTATTCATACAATCCTATCTTAAAATTTTGTGGGCATTAAGTAAAACATTCAGGTTGATTTGCCGTAAAACAAACCCAAACCCTGATCTACAAACTGATTTCTTACAAAGAATACATATTCTATTCATATGAACCTCTCCTAAAAATCTTGTTGGCATTAAATAACCAATTGAGGTTGACTGTGCCATAAAACAAAAGAAACCAAACCAAAATTGATATGAAAATTTCAAAGAAAATATTTAAATTATTGCAACATGTTTTAAATTTTTTAAATTTTTAATTAAAACTCTGTGATATCAGATATGAAGACATATTTTGGGAGTATATATGCAAAAAATGTAAGGTGGATCTAGTCTGTACTATTTATGTATAAACAAAAAGTAATGTATAGTTTTTTGTTTTTTTTACTGACATTTATACCGTTATAAATCAAGATGTGTGTATATATATATATATATATATATATATATATATATATAAACTGTTTTTACAGAGAAGGTTTACATTATCTGGGAAACTGATATTTAAAAGTGCTCAATACACAATTAAAAAATCTAAAGTGTAGCACTAGTTAAGATCTAAAATATTACAAACACTAACCTTTTCTGCTACCATGGTTTCTACCAATGAAGACTTCTTCAGTCAGTGAAAAGGTCAATTGTTTTTCTATCACTCAATTTACACTTTTTTGGGTAGGTGGGAAATATAATGGGAGGAAAGGGGTAAAAGATGAGTAGAGAAGGTATGTGAGAGAGAGAGGAGAATATATATATATATATATATATATATATATTTTTTACTCTCATTCAGGTTCATATTGTTCCAGTAGATATTTTTTAGCATGTTTACAAGCTACCATTACTTCAGTCCTTTCTTTTAAAAAGTTGCCTTACTCTGAATATAACATAATCACCAGCTTTTCTTCCTGACACAATCTGCACCTTATATTTCCAATACTGTATGCATGACATAGCTTTTTCCAAAATACTCCAACATATATTAGTTATTTGTTTCTTTTAGCTCCCACATGTGACTACCTAGTTTCATATAATGTTTGTAACTTTCTATGAAAGTGAATGCTGGACAAACTCCTCAAAAATTAAGAGACTTAAAGCAATAGAAATATGGTTTTACAGAAGGATGTTGAGAATACCATGGACTGAACATGTGGGCAATGACAAAGTTCTAGAGACTATGGAAACAAAAAGAACACTTATTCTTAACATCAGATACTGACAGTTGAAATTTCTTGGACACATAATGAGGAAAGAGGGCTTGGAAAATTTGATACTCACAGGACAGATTAAAGGTTGCTTTCCTCTGCTCCAGAGGAAGGCAATGCATAACCTACTGAGAGAGCTTAAGGAAATAGATGGGGGAACAAGGTTTGAGAGTGATAGCAAAAAGAGTTACAAAGGTGGGGAAATTGTGGTGATCCATGATCACCAATGTTCTGAAGGACCATGACACATAGAAGATGCTGAGCTGACCTTATAATATCTGGAAGAGAGTGCATAATCTGACATGATAAATAATTTTAGCTTGATAAATAA